AAAAAGAAAAAAAAGGAAGCAGCAGCAACAGCACATTAACAATAACATCTATATGGTCAGAATTCTTAAACACAAATTCCCCGGATATCTTTCTGATTATATTAATAGATAAAAAAAGAAAGCTGTGCTTAAATTTATATATGTTGTTGTTAAGTGCAGTCAAGTCATAGACAACTCATAGCAACCCTATAAATGAAAGTCCTCCACACTTGCATGACTTTCTTCCTTGCTCCAAGTTCATAGGGTTTCTGGAGACAAGCTATTTATAGAAGTGGATGCCACTCACGCTTCTAAGCTTGTTTTAACCGGAGAGGGCCACCAAACACTGTACACCATGGGTAACTATTATTGCATTTGACACATCAGTGTCACAGTGGTCAGCTTCACAGCAACCACGAGTTACCTCTGTACGGCAAGTGGACACACCCGGGCTATATGACCTAGAAGAATGTTTCACCAAAAACAATTAAAGACAGGCCTCAGGGCCACAGATTAGAGTCACCCACCTTTGGCTTGGTAGCATCACTTCCGGTCCACTAGGCCAACTGGTCTCTCTCTATGTTGTTAAGTGCCATCAAGTCATAGGTGACTCATAGTGACCCTATGAACCAAAGTCCTCAACATTTGCGTCACTTTCATCCTTGCTCCAGGTTCATAGTGTTTCTGGAGGCAAGCTATTTACAGAAGTGGATGCCACTTATATACACTTACTGTAAACAGTGATGAATATGCTCAATCAAAGCAAACAGTGCTAGTTATATACAGTCAATGAGAAGGCTCAATGTAGAGTCTATTGCTAACAGTGCATTTATTTTTTGCACATTTTAGCATATATACAAAATATTTCAATATTCAGATACATGAAAGCTAAAAAAATAAAATTTACTTAAAATACTTCATACATTAAATATCTGTATATTGCATGCATTTCTTAAACAATCAGATACCTATTTGTATTACAAATTAAGCTGAAATTGAAAGTGGAAAAAAAAATGGCAGAAAGGAGAAACTAAGTTCTGTGGTCACCAAAGATGATATAACTGCAGGGAAATTATGTTGTAATGATGCTATGATAGCTTTACAGAATTGGAATTTAAAATACATATTAAATAAAATTTCAGATTAATTAGAAATATCTAAATATAAAATGTAATATTTGTAAGTAAGACTTTATAGTAGAAAAATTGAGCATGAGGAACTGTAGAAATAAATTATATTTAAAATAGAGTAACACAATAAATCAACCAATAAGTATATAAGCCACTTGTATATTACTCTGCTAAAATTCAGTTTAAAGTATAACATTTTAACGGATTCATTGTTACTTTTTCCTTAAAAACAGGGGAACTCTGGTGGCCTAGTGATAGGAGCTGCAACTACAATTCCAGAGGCGCACAGTTCGAATCCACCAGATGCTCTACCGGGGAAGGAGGGACAATCTCCTCCTGTACCAGTCAGATCTGATTTGACAGTACACTCACACAAAAAGATAATAAAAAAATTTAAAAAATCTTTAAAAAATATATATGTGTAAACCATCAACAAGACCAGGAGTTGGGTCTCTGAAAGGGTCAATAAAATAGAGAAGCATTTGCAAACAAAATTAAAGAAAAGTAAAAGAAGACACAAATTAATCAAATAAGAAATGATAGAGGTGATATCACAAATGAAACAACTGAAATTAAATTGATAATAATGGAATATAATTAAAAACTATATTCTTGTAAGTTTGAAAGCTGAGAAGAAAAGAACAAATTCCTTGAAACTCACACCTCACCCAGATTGACACAGATAAATGTAGAACACTTAAACAGACCGATCAGAAACAATGAAATTCAGTAAGTTATAAAAAGACACCCCACCAAAAAAAGACCTGGGCTAGATAGCTGTTGTGCAAATGGAGCAGGGGAACACTGCATGATTTGGGATTGGGAAGGAAGTGCACCAGAGTTGTTCTGTCTGTCCATATCTATTTAATCTATTTACTGAGCAAATTATCTGAGAAGATGGACTCTATGAAAAAGAAAGTGGCATCGTAATTGGAGAGAGACTCATAAATAACCTGCATTCTGCAGATGACATAACCTTTCTTTCTGGAAGTGAAGAAAACTTGAAGCACTTGTTGCAGAAGATCATGAAATGCAGTCTTTAGTATGGATTGCATCTCAATGTCAAGAAAACAAAGATTATTATCATTGGATTGATAAGCAAAATTATGATAGATGGAGAAGAGATTGAAACTGTCAACAATTGCATCTTGCTTGAATCTACAATTAACACCTTTAGTATAAGCAGTCAGGAAATAAGGAGATGCATTACACTGGGAAAAGTTGCAGTTAGCAAACTCCCCAAATTATTGTGGAGTAATGATGTCAGTTTGAGGACTAAGGTGCATCTGATTCTTTCTAATCACTTGCTATGCATCAGAGAGCTGAATAATGAATAAGGATAACAGAAGAATTAATGCCTGTGAGCTGTGGTGTTGGAGAAGAAAACTGAGCATCCCATGGATGCCCAAAAGAACAAATATGTCTTGGAGAGGGTGTAGCCAGACTGTTCGTTGAATGCAAGAATGATGAAGCTTCACCTCACACACTTTGAGTATGTTGCTAAGAGGAACTATTATTTAGAGTAGGGTGGAGAATCACAAAGGAGAGGTAGACCTTTGACTAGGTGAACTGACATGGTGACTGCTACCATAGATGCTTGTGTGTCAGGAAATAAAAGGATGGCACAGGATGGAACAAGTTTCAGATCTTTTGTTTATAGTGTCTTTATGAGTTAGTTGTACTTTGACTCAATGGCACCTAAAAACAAGAACAACAATCCAGTATTGTATTGGAAGTACTTTCTCTAGCAATATGACAAGAGAAGGCAATAAGAGGCATCCAGTGTAGCAAAAAGACGATAAGCAGACAATATGATAGTACATAAATAAAACCTTATGAATTCAAACAAAAACCCTGTTAAACTTAGCAGACCAATTTATACAAGCCGGTTATAACCTCAATATACAAAAATCAGTAGAATTCTCAGTAGTAACAAAGAAATCACCAAAAAAAAAAAAGAAATTAAAAGCTATACCATTTACAATAGTCAAGTGCTAGTTGAGATACTTAGGAATAAACCTAACTAGAGTGTGAAAGTTCAAGGGCCAGGTGGGGAGCACCATATCAGACCTTTATCAACTTCATTGAGGGACATTTTTCCATGTCACAGCATCAGAAAAAACCAATTCCAAGTCCTGATTACATTGGCTCTTCTCATGCCCCTCCACCATGGTGTCATCTCACATTGCCTCCAGTTTGCTCAAGGCTGCTTATATCAAAGCCTGTCCTACATTTTACCAGGTCAGGGTCTCTCTTCTCTTATGTTGAGGAAGCATTCTCTGAAGCTAGAGCTCTTCAATTTACTGTTAAGACTAGTCAATCATCTTGTAAATTGTTGAGATTGGACAATCCCCTTGTGCAATGATAGATAGCCAAAGCCCTGTTGGACAAGCCAACAAGCCCCATTCACATATTCCCACTCATGCTCATAGGTCAGCCACTTACATTTATATAATCCTGGAAAAGCAGTTTTACAAGACAAACTCCATATATAAACACAAAATAAAGAAAACTGTTTTATAAACAAAACTACAAAACACTACTGAAAACATGATAAGAGATCTAACTCTGGAAAAATGTTTCTTGTTCATGAATAAAAATACTCAGTATGGCAAAAATTAGAATCCTAACAAAAACAATCTACATGTTTAATGCAAGTCCAAAACAAATACCAAAAAATTTAATTTTTCAAAGGTATATAAAAGGTAATTTCTAAGCTTATTTGCACAGAAGAAGTTCCCCAAATAGGCAAAGTACTTCTGAAAAACAAAAATAAAGTGGAAGTACAGCACACCTTGATCTCAAAATGTACTATGCTGCTGTAATTAACCTAAACAGCATGATACTGATACAATCACAGACACATGCACTAACATGACAGAATTGAGAACTCAGAAATTAACCCATTTACATATGGTCAACTGATTTCAACAAGGACACAAAATCTCTCAAATGTAGGAACATAAAATTAACTACCACCCATAGCAATGCTGTGAACAATGATTCTGAACCTTGCCCAATCTTACGTCAACATCAGCATACTGACATACCCTTGCCCATTGCTATAGTCACTGTGTCAGTTCATCTAATTCATGGTCTTTCTATTCTGCTCTGACTGTTACTCACCCAAGCACAGTGTCCTTCTCCAAAGACTAGTCCCTCCTGGAAGCATGCTCACAATACATGAGATTAGGCTTCAAAATCCTAACCTCCAAAGAGCAATCTGTTTTTACCCTTTCCAGGAGAGATCTATTTGTTTTCTTGGTAGTCCATGGTATGTTTCTACTTGCAGAAAGCTGAAGTAGAATCCATATCTCACACCATACACAAACATCTACTCCAAGTATATTAACACAAGATGATCTAGGAAAAAAAATCAATTCAAGGTGTAAAATAACTCAAGATGATCTA